CACTCACTACAATGGTTGATCACTCACTACAATGGGTTCATCACTGGCTACAATGGGTGCATCACTCACCTACAATGGGTTCATCACTAGCCTACAATGGGTTCATCACTCACCTACAATGGGTTCATCACTAGCCTACAATGGGTTCATCACTCACCAACAATGTATCCATCACTCACCTACAATAGGTTGATCACTCACCTACAATGGGTTCATCACTAGCCTACAATGGGTTCATCACTCACCTACAATGGGTTCATCACTCACCTACAATGGGTTCATCACTCACCTACAATGGGTTGATCACTCACCTACAATGGGTTCATCACTGGCCTACAATGGGTGCATCACTCACCTACAATGGGTTCATCACTAGCCTACAATGGGTTCATCACTCACCAACAATGTATCCATCCACTCACCTACAATAGCTTGATCACTCACCTACAATGGGTTCATCACTAGCCTACAATGGGTTCATCACTCACCTACAATGGGTTCATCACTCACCTACAATGGGTTCATCACTAGCCTACAATTGGTTCATCACTCACCTACAATGTATCCATCACTTACCTACAATAGGTTTATCACTCACCTACAATGGGTTCATCACTAGACTACAATGGGTTAATCACTCACCTACAATGGGTTGATCACTAGCCTACAATTGGTTCATCACTCACCTACAATAGGTTCATCACTCACCTACAATGGGTTCATCACTCACCTACAATGGGTTCATCGCTCACCTACAATGGGTTTATCACTCACCAACAATAGGTCCATCACTCACCAACAATGGGTCCATACCACTCACCTACAATGGGTTCATCACTCACCTAAAGTGGGTCCGTCACTCACCTACAATGTATCTATCACTCATCTACAATAGGTTGATCACTAGCCTACAATGGGTTCATCACTCACCTACAATGGGTTGATCACACACCTACAATGGGTTCATCACTGGCCTACAATGGGTTCATCACTCACCTACAATGGGTTCATCACTAGCCTACAATGGGTTCATCACTCACCAACAATGTATCCATCACTCACCTACAATGGGTTCATCACTCACCCACAATGGGTTCATCACTAGCCTACAATGGGTTCATCACTCACCAACAATGTGTCCATCACTCACCTACAATAGGTTGATCACTCACCTACAATGGGTTGATCACTCACCAACAATGTATCCATCACTCACCTACAATAGGTTGATCACTCACCTACAATGGGTTCATCACAAGTCTACAATGGGTTGATCACTCACCTACAATAGGTTGATCACTCACCTACAATGGGTTCATCACAAACCTACAATAGGTTGATCACTCACCTACAATGGGTTCATCACTAGCCTACAATGAGTTCATCACTCGCTTACAATGTGCCCATCACTCACCTACAATGAGTTCATCACTTGTCTACAGTGCATTCATCACTCGCCTACAATGGGTTCATCACTCACCTACAATGGGCTCATCACTCGCCTACAATGTGTCCATCACTCACCTAGAATGGGTTCATCACTCACCTAAAATGGGTTCATCAGTCACCTAGAATGGGTTCATCACTTACCTACAATGGGTTCATCACTCGCCTACAATGGGTTCATCACTCGCCTACAATGGGTTCATCACTCCCCTACAAAGGGTTCCCCACTCACCTATAATGCACTCATCTGTCACCTAAAGGGGCTAATGTCTCACCTAGATAGGCTCACTGCATGATTACTTACAATATACTTATTGATACCTACAATGAACTCAGCTATCATCTACTGTCAGCGAACTAGCGGTACTATATGTACTAATTGGTCATTTACAATGAGTTATTAATAAATTCATTACAGATTAAGCTACTTACAAGCTTCTTAGGTAGATCTTTATCATTTCTCAGTGCATTCCACAATGACTCACATGCTTTCATTAATTGATGAAATCCTGCATCTGGTTTCAAGTCAAATATGAAGGATGAAAATCCTGTTGTGGCTTGGTGAAGACATTTCACTCTGTCTACCTCCATGTCAGTTTCACCAGCTGATATCATAGCTAAATCCACAAAGACTTTCAACTGCTGTATGCCTGAAGAAAAACAACAGGACATCAACCGTCAGGGGTATTTTGGGGGTTCAAAGAAGCCTGTGAATTGAGCACCGATACTTGTATGTACTTGTGAAATGTTGTTAGTGGTATGTTGTCATTTCAGGTCATTATCTTTCATTTATTCATGATTACAAGCTGCAAAAAGACAATGACGCTAGGTCATGGTCATCTAACACATCACTCAAAACAAGTATTGGGGTAGCAGTAAATAACTTGTCAGAACTTACTTGTGATTTCTTTTCGTAACCACTCAATGAAATCTTTGCGTAATACCAGTTGTTGCAAGCAAAGTATTCTTTCACGACTCATGGCAGCTAACGATTTCCCAGCATTCACTACATCATCATCAATAGATTCCAATTTTCTGTCTTTGAAGTCAGCATTTCTCTATAAAATAGAAACAGCAATTGTCTGTAAAGTAAATCTAGGAGACAGTAATATTGAGCTTACATATTGAAGCAATGCTTATGTACGAATTGCATAAAATATTTTAGGATTCATTAACTTATATGCGTTATGCATGAACAGTGTAGACCAAACATTTGCTGCAGAATTCAAATGATTTGACTATGAACTTGAATTTTTTTTCATAGCTCAATTTCGAAAATACCTTTCAAAATATGGAAACATATGAGATATAATATGAAATGTACATGTACCTTCACTTCATCAAAATTGACAATCAGTAAATGTTTATAGCACATTATTGAACATGAAAATATTCCAAAAATACTTTCACTATTGTTGACACCACTATGTCACAATGACTTTTGTTTGTCCTGTTGTTAGAAGTCTGAATAATGGCTTATTGCGAAGCCAGAGTAATAGTCAATATTTAGACAATCATTGAAATTTGAATGTCAAAGACATATTTTTCATATAATCATACAATTAAATATGAAATACAGTCCCAAACTAAATCTAAAATCACTATGATCTCAAATTGTAAATCACCTAGCTAAGACTTGTTTATATGAAGAAGCACTCTACCACCCAACAATATATTTCACGCACTTAATTTGTATCTATATATATATCAAACATAAGCAGCATAGTAACTGGAGAACCTCAAATGAAAATACAGACAATAATTTTACTGTGAGTAAACACAGTCTACGCAATACTTACCACAGAGGACAATACACTGATGGCAGTAAAGTTTCCAGTTAAGTTGAATGTTTTCTTCACATCCTGCACTATCTCTACTGCTTCAAGACGTTGTTCTAGTTGATGGTAGTGGATTATCTGTTGTATGCGTCGCTTTAACCAATCACATGGTCTCGGTCCGAGAAGCAACTTCAACTCATTTTCCAGCTGATCATATTCATTTTCAAACCGGCCGAAAAATTCATCAACTTCTTTAAGAATGAGGCTGCCATCTTGCAGTTTGGAAATAATCTCACTGATATGTCCGAAAACCTTCTTCCAAACCTTATTAGCGACATCGTCAACGGTCAACACATCATCTCCAGTATCTTTGGATTTCTCTTTATGAACAATTCTAGCCTTTGCTTGCCAGAGATCTTGGAAGAGTACGCTACTGTGTATGTTTTCTAATGGGGGCAGCATCTGCTTGACAACAGGAGAGATGTTGAAGTACGTGATTGTTGGTTTGTTGCTATCACGGGAGAGGGTAATCGGCTCGCAGATGTCAGTCAGCATCAAACCATCAACATCAGAGTCAAGCTTGGCTTGCAATGCTTGAAGGTTCACTGAGAAAAAACATAAAGGGTACATGTACTGTATTAATTTCAGGCTGTGGAGGTTTTCCGAAAGCGACACTGTTCCCTTAAATTTTTTTGAATCTTGAAAATACTGAGAAAATTTGCCCATTTTCCCTTTGAAATGTTTTTTCTGCATACAAAATGCATGGAAAGTTTCTCAAAAGACAAAATTTCACTGAGAAACTACATTTGAATCTGAGAAAATTGAGCGAAAATAAGGCTTAGAGGGAACACTGGAAGGCGATATATCACTTGTAACTGCCTAACCTTGATCTCAAAACATAATAACAGCAAAATTTGCTTTTATGATTATTAATATAAAATTTACTATGAACTTTTCAAGAAGTTGGTAATAATTTATATGTATCAGAATAACTTTAACATGACATAACCACTTCAATTTTGCAAATTTGCAAGTATTTATTCGTCAGTATTTACGTCTTACAATGTATGATACTCACCTGGTTGTATTGTCTCACAAATCCCAAGAAAACAACTAATTTGTTTCCTTTCAGTTTCAAATGCTTTAAGTTCTTTTGCACGTCGACCCAGAATTTTAATGATGTCCTGTGTGGATGGTTGCATATTGGTTGCTGCACCTCTTTCCTTCTGCAAATCAGTTTTGATGACTATGGTTTTACATAACTCAACAAAATGATTGTTGTTTTCTAAAAGCACATTGAGGTAAAAGATTCTAATCTGTCCACGCAAGATGCTTTCTAGAATGCTGTCCAGCATGGACTTAGCTACAGCAACGTATCCTTGAGCTAGCTCTGACAATATATTGCCATGACCTTGTTGAGAACCTGAAAAATGAACAAAATTTTCAAAACAAACTCAGGTAGAATGTATTTGATTTGAAGACCACCCTTGGGAAGAGAATGAAGAAAGAAATCTGCAATGCAAAAATTAGAATATACTTGTTTCAGATGGCAACATGTCATTTTCAGTTGTTACATACATTCATTTTTCACATTTGTCACTCAAACATTATTTCGACCAATAGCATGGTAGCAACTCATCTCAAAACTCTGACCCAGTACATGTCTTTGGCAAGTCAAAAACGCTGTGCAAAATGTATTTAGAGCATAACAGCATGGAGACCAATGCATAATGTCAAACTACAAATGTACCTAAGGTATTCTAAACAAGAAAACAATTGATTGTCGAAAAATGAATTACGTTATATCACCAGGCCTAGATTTTCAGTCAGCATGTTATGCACTTGATTGACATCCATGGTTTCCAGTCAGACATATCTTTGTTCTTATTTTTTCAAAAAACAAAATTATATTTTATGAATTATTATTTTTATCTTGAGAGTAGGGATGACAAATGCTGGTGGTGATCGATTGATCAATGTAGAGTTCATCCACTATGATACCTTTCAGTGTGTTTTTTGCCATTCATAATCTGTTTAAATCACTTATTAAATATCTTTCATGAATTATTCACTCATATTGACAATACTTTCATACAGCATCACGTTCAGAATTTTGTTTGTGGAATGAAAAATGATGTATTACCCATTATTATGTGATTTCAATAGTGGAATCCATTTTATTTATTTTTGGTATTGAAATGTCATTTGATGCCTATTTGAGTATTAAATAATTGTCACTTTATAGTTTCACTTTTCTTTAAACACCCTCTGCTTTATTCATTTCTGAAGACAATATTTTATTCATATCCATATCATATCCTTGATGCTCAATAATGAAATACATTATTGCGAGTAATCAGCAGCAATAATGTCATAAAATTCACCGGTATTGATACTACTATATAATAATACCTGAACCTGAAGATACACTATTCTCCTATGGAAACATAACACTAAACAAGACCAATCAATTCACATATCTAGGAATCACATTTAACTCAAATGGAACCATGACAAAGACAATGGAACTTCTAACCGACAAAGCCAGAAAAGCCGAAAGAAGCATAGAAGATATATACAACAAACAAACAATACAACAATATAAATTTGAAGACAAAACTTTTTGAGTCCTTACAGCTTCCAATCCTGTTATACAGATCAGAGATATGGGGAATAAACACAAAAATTGAACAGTGGGACCGTACCAGTGGGACCGAAAAATACCATCTAAAATATTGTTGTGATTTACTGAATGTCAATGGAAACTGGTAGATTACCATTGTTATCAATTATTGAGTACAGCGCAATCAACTACTATCAAAACCTGATTCATAATGGGCCAATAACATTTGCATATGATGCTATAATTGAACTAAAACAAAATTGTTTCAAAAACTCTTGGCTACATTATCTTAATATAATCAAAAACAACTACAATATAGACATTGACAATAATAAAAAACAGAAATTCTACAACATATCAAGAGAACAATATACAAAGATCTGGAATGAGACCAACAATAGAGAGAACTCTAAACTACGCACATACAAACTTTTAAATAATACAATTAAATGTGCACCCTACTTAAACATTATGAAAAAATATCAAGATATTAAAACACTAGCCAAATTGAGACTAAGCTGCCATAGCTTAGAAATTGAAGTTGGGAGACATACATGTCCTAAAACACCAGCTGATGAAAGAATTTGCAAAATATGTAATATTTCATAATACACTGTCAAATATGCACAAATGGAAAACAAGAACTTTATGAACAATTTAACAGAATATACAATAATTTCTCAACACAGAATTACATATGTAGACAAATTCAAAATGATTTATTAACACGACAGAGCCATCTCCTGCTTAGACATGTTATCAGATAATTAAACAATGCTTTTACTAAAAGACTAACTTGTAGTTACCGGTAAGTTGGTGTTTATATACACTACGGTATATCAAAAAAACAAAACCAAAAGAATTGTAACTTCTTTACGGTTATAATAAAGGTTATTATTATTATAATATATCAAATAAACAATAAAGTTGTTTGTTACCTGTCATACGAAAAAATCCCACAAAAGGAGTCCAAGTCAACAGATGCTGGAGGATCTGATAATCTGTGACGTCTTTCCGTCCCTGCTGCGGCTCTGGCCAGGACTGTTCCAAAAGTCGTGATAGAAGATTGCGAGACTCTCTGGCATCATAAACTGTGTTGAACAAATCCTGAGACTGTTCCTTATGCTGAAAATAAAAATAACAAATAAGTACATGTAGTTTGGTTAAAAATAAGACATCAACTATCATTAAACTCTAAATAAAAAACTCTAATATTTGGAATTCACATTTCCTAATATGGTAGGATGAAAATACCCTGTAAAATAATGCAAAATTACGACACGCTGTAACTTATGGGGTTACAGTGACAGATGTGTAATAAAGTTAGTTTTATTCAATTTTAGAAAATAAAGCTGTGTTGACATTTTACTATACCATGATGCTACAGTTATTATAATAGCTTTATTATTCAAATTTGTTGTGTGATACAAGATTATTAAGCTGTATGAGAAAAAACACATACAAATCATTATAAATTAACTTTTCAGTATTTTTTCACTTTTTTAATGCAATATTATTTTAATTTTGTTAAAATTTACAAAAGTTAACTTTTCAAAGAAAATATCACAGGAATATTCTTATAGTTTCACAAGAATACACAGAAAACACAAAACAGGAACACAAAATGACTGTTATAAGTATAACCTTTCACTTGTAAATAGTACATGTATATAGTTGCAATAAAGTAGCTTACTTTACATATTTCAGCAACAGCAGAAAATGCAGCTTCACTGAGAACTTCCTGTATTGTTGAGTGCAAACCTGGGATATCTTCACGACAGAACAACCTCACTTTTTGAAGATTGGATGACTTCATGAAAGAAATGAAAATGAGTATGATCAATTCAGATGGTATAGATCTTGTTTAAAGACGTGTTTTTAACCCCAGTGCGATTTCCCTCCCAATTTGGTGAATTTTTCCTTGCAAAAATGATCTTGCTTTAAGGTAATTAAAAATGTACCTACAATATACGTCAACAATATACCCACATAATCTTTGAACATTTTAATTGAAAATTGGCCCTAAAATAAATATTAATTTAATTTATTTTTTGTTTGGCCTTATTGAGAGTAATTTCTTTAGTTCAAGTCAATATATCCCTGTAGTATGTTTTATTATTGTCGCTATGATTGTTAACGAATTTTACTACACTATTAAGCTTGATTATCATTTACTTTTTGTACGCTTTCCAGCACAAAATCAAATTTTATGTATTTTATATGCATTGTGTATCGTAATTGCACATGTGCTAATACTAATGAAAATATGTATTTACAATCAAACTTATTCATATTTTTTTATGTTCCAGTTTACAAGAATTACAACTTTGGGTTTGAGTGCAGTACTTTGGAGATACACTAAAGAGTAGCATTTTCAGACTGTTGCTCGTTGAACTTACTTGTTTAATTCTGTCGCTAGCAAACCAACAAAGCCGTCTCTCCACAGCACATCAAGAGTCTCATCACGGAACTCAACACTGAACACTTGATTCCAAAGCTACAACAATAAGGCACATTGTTAAACTGGTAAAAAATGTTTTTCCCTTCAAATGTATATTGCATGTAGTATAAAACTTGTTCAAAATTGTTACCACTTGAGATTACCAACATACCTTGAGCTCATCATCGAACACAGTATAATTGCCAGAATATCCATGTTGTATCATATAAAAAGGTAGGCTCCTTTTTAACCAATTAAAAAAATCTCCAGAAATATTTTCAAAATATTTCAAAAACACTTCTTCAGTTTCAGTGATCTTTGAAGTTTGTTGTCTTGTTTTCCCTGACTGTAAATGCTTAACAGCATAGGAATGGCACACAGCATATAGACCACACGTCTTTGTCATGAACTCATACTCAATTAATTTTGGGTATTTGGATATAATCATAGAAAACAGTGCCTTGGCTGCTTTGACAGTAGATACAGCTTCATCAATTGTAAATTCATCATATGATAATCTGTCAGATAAAAATGATAATGCAATAATTATAAATAATAGGGGCAACTGTTTGTTTTTACATATATTGTGCTAGTTAATTTTGGAAAACAAAGGTCTTTAAAATAACCACTACACTAAAAAGTTTCCTAATAAACATTATATACGATATACATTTTTAAAAAAAAAAACTTTTAAAAATCACCAAAAATAAAATTTTTGTAAGATCAACTTCAAATTTATACAGGCCAACTACACTTGTCACACTTGTCTCTCCTGAATTTTATTTAAGTGCAAATTGCAAGTGCTGACACTTAGTGCATTTTGCCACAGAAGTCATATTCATATTTGGGACTACATGGGTTGTGTGGGCATCTCTCCACCAAATGGCAATTTTTAATGCGCTATCCTGGCACCAACCAGGCTCGTTCACACAAGCACCTGCGGACCTTAAGCAAGGTACCCCCAAAATCGCATTCATTAGTGAATGAATCTCGGCCAGTGGAATTGGCTTTCCCATTGAGTCTTTGGCACACTCACCAGGGTAGGGATTTCCCTATTGATGTTCGGCCTAAGGTAGGATTTGAACTATTTGGGTGAATATTATTGAAGTCATTGTGCCCACAAGAATAGTTTACAACGACACTGCCGCTGCCGATTTATGACAGACATTTAGACGCTACTATGATTTTCCCTTCTCTTCATATATGTGCAAGCCAAAACCCTGTAGTAGTATCATTGATTATAAAATATTACAAAACCTGTCTTATCTTTGTTGTCCAAACTCAAAGCTGTACAGTTATAAGCATGTTGAATGTGTACCTGACAGACCAATTTAATTGAAGATCTGTATAATTTTGTTGGTTACCCTGGTTACTACCTAATATAATAAATGTACTTACTCATTTGCAACAACAGATTCAATCTTTTTTTCTACAAGTGAAATAGCTGTTACAATTGTTTTTTTTCACACACTCCCTATCCTGAAAATTTAAATGAATAATCGTTAAGATAGTTAGGATTAACATTGATGAGTTAATTTATAACTGTATAATCTTAGTATTCATGTACACACATTATAATCCATCTCTGGAGACAACAGACAAGAATGACTTGTATATCTAACTTTCTTTTACAAACATAAGATTATATACCGATAATAGACTTATCTTTCTGTATCGAGCACATGCTCAGTAACTTAGCAACATGAGTTATAATGCATTCATATTCAAGTTTTGGATTGAGATGCAATGAACTTAACTCAATAATATCAATCCGTACAGAAAATGTACAACATGAGACAAAGTCTATTATTTTTTGTACTGGTTTATAGGAATTTTGCACCGTATCGGTGAACAATGTGTAAGCAATTTGATACACAGAAGTTTGTAAACATTAATTGATAATTCTAGAAAAAATTAAAACAAAAACAACAAGCTACCTTACAGTCGAAATAACTCAGCAGAGTATTTCCTCAGATCAAAGTTGGTAATGAAATACTAATGTCATGGTTATTGTTACCATAATGTTCTTGGCATATCACAACTATTGTAGTTTATATAGTTGCTGCTATGACAATCACAATAATTATTGTTATCATTATGTTACAAACCATAGCAACTCTTCCCTTGCAAGCAATTGACAGTTTTTAAGAAGAAGTCCAAAATAGCATTTTTTACCAAAAATTACAAAAATCTGGTTAAATTACAAATCCACACCCAAACTTTGAGGTTTTCAACTAATATTCAAAGTTGCAATAGTGTTACACAAACTGCAGTTTGTATTAAATCAGATTTTAATTGTGCATACCCACACACAGAGAGTCAATAAAATTATAACTTTGCCATAAAGGAGAGCTCTGAACCATGTGCAAACAATTTATAAAAATTCTCACCTCCCTCCATATACTGCTGATGTCGTACTTAGCTAAGCTTGCAACAATAACCACAAGTCTATAGCATACGGCATAGGTAGGAATGAGACCACTCTTTACCACATTATTGATTTCATTTAAGGGAATAGATAGAAGACATGTTCTCAAAAGCATTTGATCTGCTTCAAATATTGGAGCTAACCGTCGCACTAAGGGCAGCATTTCATATCTGAAAGAAACAAGATAATCAAAAACATAGTGAAACTATTGAAGCCTTGCCCTGTGCAATTTTACATCCAGCATTCGAACAAACTATATAATAGACAAGTTTTGAGTCATATCGCCATCAGGCAGTTTCAGCATGAGAAGGGGGGGTTGATGTTTTAGCTCATTTCAATTTGTATGGGCATGTAATTCATTAATTACTCAAGCGACCTTTGGTACTGACATCATACGATATCCCTAGTTCTACTGTGTTCTGATGAGCTATCAAACGTTTACGGAGGCAAGTTTTTAAGGTAATGGCGGAGCTCGAAACTTGTCTATAGCTTCAACTTGAATGTGGAATATTGTTCACAGCAGATGCTCAAAACAAAGTTGCAGCGCCGACTCTGAGCTCCAACCTGGACATCTAAGATCAAACATAGAGTTTCTTGGATCAAATCACAGTTGTAAGCAAGACAAAGGTGCTCAGAATAAGTAAATCTACTTGAGTGGACATAATTTTCACAGCAGACTTTCAAAACAAAGTTTAGAGCATGTACCATGCAGCTCTGAGCATCCTAAGATCAGTAAAAGAAGACGCCTAAAATCACTGCATGCACATTTCATGAAAATAAATATTGTGTGCACTGTAGTCTCCCATTGGATGAAAGAATGAATTGGTGTCAGTGGAAATTGGCAACAAAATTACAGTAAATTATGACATGGAAAATTCAATTGAAAAAAACAATATCCCATGTAATTACCCCATGTATTGGATGGATACATTAACATAATAATACTATGACAGAACCCCACACCCTCCCCGTGGCTTTCGTTGCGTATGGAAGTTATTTTCACGAGTGATGCAGTGTATCCTACGGCCGTACTTTCACAAGCTAAGCAGAATACACCACATCTCAAGTGAAAATAACCCCATTGCCCATTAATATGTTCCAAGATAGTGTTATGCACTAGCAACGCGTGTCAGTGTAGAACTCGTGCCACTGTCTGTGTGAAAATAAAATAATCAGACGTCTAATCTGAGTCACTGTCTGAATAAATAACTCGTGGATGTTGAGTTGGGGCCACAACAGAACCAGAACTTGAACTGGATGACAGTGATACACAGTTTATGTTGAAGTTAAAAGTTCCTCCACAGAATTGTGCATTGGCAAACGTGCCGTGCAACTGTGGTACTCCTGTCAGT